ATATGTGTATCTATAAATAAAAAAAAAAGTTTATTTGTATGTGAAAATTAACATTTTTTATTAAATATATTTGGATAAAACCTATCTCTAATTTTCATATGGACACTCTATATTTTTTACAGTACCCACTGGAATGTAAAAAGAGAATTGTATATATATATATATATATATATATATATAATAGAGAGAGAGGTGGGAGACGAGTGTATGTTAAAACGTTCTTAGTCAAACCAGAAAAGGATTTTGAAGAAACTGATGTTTGCTCATCTGTTCAAAATTTGAAATATAGCTGAGTCGAAACATTTTCATCGTCTGATACATAGATAGATAGAAAGAAAGAAAGATTAGATTAGATTTGGCAAGATATTCCGATAGTAGGAATCTAAAATTACGTAGTCTCTCTGGCTAGTTGTCATTAATTTAGTGGGTACATACGTAAAGCGCTAATTTCCTCTAAGGAGAGAGAGAGAGAGAGAGAGAGAGAGAGAGAGAGAGAAACATCCACTTGTGAAAACTGAATTTAAAATCCTCGCCTTTATCTGAAATCGAACACCGGCTACGACCGTAAAAGACAAACATGCTCCCGTTTCGCCCACTGAGCAGTCTAAAATTGTAACTATAAAAAATGTCAAAATTAAAATGTATCAGAAATGATTTGCGAAAGAAAGTTTGGGTATAACGTTGTATTTGGGTGGAAGGAGTGTTGCCTTAAAATGTCGTCATTCCAGTGGAATTTATTGCGAAAAATCTTGACATTAGAAGTTATTAACTCTGGACCATTTTTTTCTTCACAGACTAGAACGCTACGTTACCCCCTTAGATCTAGACCAAACGCCAAAAGGAGAGGGGACGCTTATAACAAACAAAAAAAGTCCTGATTCTCAAATCTGTTATCCACGTGTGTGTCATGCTTCTTCATTTTTTTTTCTTGAATATTTTTTATCGGTGAGTTATTTGGCTACATCACGCCGACATCATGAGAATGCCATGCAAGACATCTGCTCTCTAAAATATCCCAGATGGAAAAGGGAGATAACTTAGTAGTTTTCATTTCTTCTAAAATATCTGGGCCCAAGAATTGCTTTTTATCCCACTAGACACATAAAAACAGAAAAGCTGGGATAAAATAAAATGCTCGGCCAATTTTACTAATTTGAGACTCTTTCTGGATCAGCACCGGCTCGCCTGTCTACTATCTGCTTCACAACTGAGTAGGTCAAGATCACGGTAGTGTTTCGAATGAAGAATGAACTCCCTACTAATTAAATGGTCTTATATAAATTAATATTGGTAAAATATCTAGCTATACATGTTCAGTGTGGACAGAGCCTTTGTACTGATCTCGCTCCGGTTATCAACGTCAAATTTCTGGAATGGGCATGGAAATCTGGCTATTAAATATGCAACTATGCTAGGTTGGCCATGTCTATAGGATGAATAACCAACACCCGCTGAAGATTGTGATTTATGGTGAACTCTCCACCGCGAAAATGGGTTACACAAAAAGAGATATAAAAACAGTTGAAAAAAAAGACAACGCTCAGGAATTGTCAGCAGCGTCGTCCGAGAATAAACTCAATGTGGATTTGATGGACAATCAAAGAATGAAGAAATTTATGTCAACCGTGTCACTATAGCAACAAACCCGGGTCAAATATTCGTATGCAGCTATTGTGGACAGATCTGCCTGTCCCGCCATTGGACGGGTCAGCCACCAACGAGCCTGTATCAGTCGTGAACAGCACGTCTGTCCGAGATCTTCGTTTTCGGCACCAAACCAAGAAGATATACATATGTACTAATATGTACTTTTCTAATTTCGTATCATTTTAGAATTCACACAGATATTCTCCTGGGTATCGCGAACACGTAATAGCATCTACTTTTTCTGAATTTATTTTTATTCGTGTGATGACTAAAAACAAGATTTATCAGAATTGGGAACGATTTGTAAGGTACCTTGACAGGAAAGTATTTGGTAGGGGTCCTGTTGCTGTAATGTTACAGGGTGGGAAAGAAATGAGTATTTAATATTTATTAGAGTGGCAGCTGCCATTTTTGCTTGTTTGTTTTTAAAACAATAGTTTTGGGGTTTTTTTCTTTTCTTTTCTTTTCTTTTTTTTTTTTTTTTTTCCGTTTCTCTTCTTTTTTTTATTTCATTTTCCTTTGAATCATTCTCCAGGGATATTTTTCAAAACAAGCGTTAACGAACAAACATCGTAGAAAAGGGAATTCATTGTTTGTATTTACTTACAAATCATTCGTGTATTAGTGGCAGACGCACAAAATGACAAAATGGCGTCTGAAATTTTCTCATTTGATTTTCGTTTGCCTAATGGTTTTAATCATATGAAAAAAACAAAAAAACAAACGGATTTCATAGAGTTGGATGTCACGGCTTTAAATATTTATGATTAAACTATTTATTAAATAATTAAATTATCATTAAACTTATTTATATATTATTATATTAATAACGATTTGGGTTTCAGTATATAAAATTGTACGATAATAATGTATTCGGTTACCAATGCTCGCCTTTTTTCTTTATTAGCGCCTATTGTTTTAAGTCATTTATTTTTTATTATATATATATATATATCCAATGCATTGCTCTTGTGAACTTTTCAATTGAATCTTCTTATAAAATTATTAACGATTAATTTAAACAACTAATTAAATTATTTAAATTAAACAATTAATGAAATTATTATAAGTTCGGTTTGCGTCAATTTCTGCTTTCTGACTGCAAACAACTCCTTTTCTTTTCTTTTTTTTCGTTGCACAAAACACAGATTGAGTGCTGAAATTGTCTAAAACAAATTTTAGATTAAAATTGAAAAATGTAGAATTAATTATCATAATCATCTTGATTTCTATTTAAATCATCATCATTGTTATTCTTATTAACCATCATCATCATCATTCCTATTATTACTAATCATCGTAATAGTCTAGGTGTCATAAAGGAAAGTAATATTTATTTTGTATAATACAAAAATGGGGCACAAGGCTAAAATGTGGATGAGGAAAGGTTGGTCTTCAGTCTGTCTTATCATAAATTTAGATGCCATAGTATTCCTTACACCAAAACAACACATTCTTACTTACCATTCCTACTACAGTCACCATAATACCTCAGGGTCTCTATGCAGTCGTAACTAATTCCTTATATGTACAATTTGTCTATGGAGGTGAGGAATAAAATTAATAACATTTACAGATGAAACCCCAATGAATATTTACAGTGAATACAATTTATATACAAGAAACTAAATAAAATAATGTCAGTAATAAAAACAACCCATAATCCTTAATTGTGGCAGAGAAAAATCTGTGAACTGGACGAAATTAATGCGTGACTAGATAATTAAGAACAATGATTCGTCCAACCACTCATTCAAACATAAAAATAAATACGAAATACAAACTCGAAAAACGAAAAGCGCCCCTCATCTACCAGAGCGATTTTACTAATCTTAGCTCAGTTGTTGCACATGACTGAAAGTATGAAACACCCAGTGAGGATCGAACTCAATATTCAGTCATAATTAAGCTAGCGAGACAATCTTGCTAGCCATTACACCATAAAGTTCATCAGAACAATTACTATGAAAGTATTTATATAAAAGGTACAGGAAAGCTACGTTATTGTGGTGGGAAAGTTACTAAAACAGAGATGCAGGATCAGGACCAATAGCATTGCAGATTCTTCTTTGGATTTTATCATGAATTTCTAAATATATAGCAAGGGCACCAAATCAGATCGAAAGCAAGAAGCCGAAAGAAAGTTCTACGAGCGAGAAGTTCGAGAGAAGAAACTTTTAACATAGAACTTACGGTTCCATCTAACCATTTCAACAGTAAAACGATAAGTTCTTGCCACCAATCTAGTACTACGCTTAAATTCATAAAGTACTGTTCATCATGACAATTGCCATTAAATGATTTATAGAAAACGACACAGAGAAGCTACGTTACGACGGTGAGAAAGGGGCTGAAACCGAGATGCCAGGTCAGGACCTATAACATTGGTTTGGATTTCTTTGGATTTTATCAAGAATCTCTAAATATATAGCAGGAGCACAAGACCAGATGTAGCAACAATATTCAAAGCATGAACAAATGGTATACTTGTTAATATGTAAAATAGGTTCTAGCGGGAAAAAAACTACCTAACATGATACTTTGAACCAACAGCACACTTAGCAATTGATTCAATATAATCTTTCCACTTCATGACAGCGAAAAACTTTAGCCCGAGAAGTCGCATTGGGTAACTCTTCTGGAGGTTAATATATGAATCTGTTAAAATATATGTCAATCTGTTCATATCTAAGTGTATTTCTATTTAAATCTATTCATATTTACCTATGGTAATGATAATATTAACCGTTTTCCTTTATCAGGAAACATTCGGCATTCATTGACCGAGCAGCTTGTGATACTATTGGTTGAAATTCAGAAAATCTTTCTCTTAAAACAAGTTTTATGGAAAACAAGTTTTTCAAGTCCAGTAGCTGTTATAGTTCTTTCCAGTATTAATGGGGGTTTCCTTCCTCACCTTTTGTTTGAAGTAGTGTGGAATGTCAACATCTTGATAATGTCATGATTTTCTCTTCTCAAGCCCACTAGCTGTTATCACTCTTTCCAGTATTGATGGAGGTTTCCTTCCTAACCTTGTTTGAAATAGTGTAGAATGTCAACATCTCTCACTCAGACTATTCATAACTAAATCTGTTTAAATCTATCTACAAATTTGACATGTTTACATACTTTTAAAACTTATTTGAAAAACTAGTAGCCACACGGCCAAGTGAATTTGACAAAAATGTTTTTGAATATAATCTGTACTGTCAAAGCACTTACTCTAACCCTTTTTTAATTAATCACAGACATTGAATATTATATATTGAAAACTTTAGATCATTATCTTTTTTTCTTTTTACACTAGCTTTATAATATTAATATAATGAGTTATTTTTTTCTGTTCTTTTCAGCCTTCAGTTTAGGTAGCGTGGCCCTCGATGGCTTCCATATTGCCACTTACTTCGAGACCGAATCAACAGCAACTTGTGAAAGTCCCATCTTTCCTATGGTCTATGTTGTGCACTTACTGTTTGTCTTTGTTCAAACATTCTTCGTGTTTAAGAACCACAAGGTAAGGAAAGAATGGATACGCGTCTTCATTTTGTTTATACTGAAACCTTCTCGGCCAGAGCTTCTTCCCAAGATTTGGCCAAATGACTAAAGATCATATGTATTTTTAAAGACCTTCATCGTCAAGATAGAAACTTCAGCATCTCTTGTAGCACTTCTTATGTGCGCGCATGCATATATACACAAAAGACACAGAGTAAATGTATAGACGCCATTTTGATACTAGTGATTGCAGTGACACCTGTACAGAAAAAAGTCTAATTGATCTATATAATGCTACAACATATATGATTCATTCATGTCATAACTTTTAAGATATGACTATACATAATCAGAAAAGGGTTATAGAATTTATGGGTATGATTGGTGGATTTTATGGCATATCAACACTTGTTGGGTCATTTAATGTCGAGATTTTATTTTTCTTCAATGTGTAGATAAACATTAGGCGGGGGGCTTATACTTGAGTCTTGAAAGAAAATCACAATACTGATACATATTTTTTATTCCTATCTAAGCTTTCGACTTATATAAGCCATTATAAAAGATGACAATTACATTACAATATATTAAGCAATACACGGAGAAAACAATAATGATAGTCTGTTTATGTTTACATGGAAGATTTCCAAGCAATGACAAACTCGTACATTCTAGACGCTGGAACCGAAAATCGCACCTCATCTCATGACGTCTCACACACACACATATATATATATATATATATATATATATATATATATAATGGACAAACTGAGACAGATGAATAGATAATGGACAAGCTTTAATAAGTAGATAGATGGATAGATAGCTTGATAATAAACAAGATAGCTTGGCAATAGATAAACTGAGATAGATGAATAGGTAGATAATGGACAAACTTAGATAATGAACAAAATTTAATAAATAGACAGATAATGGAAAAACTGAAATAGATCGACATCCATTATATATAATGGTCAAAATGAAATAGACAAATAGATAGATCATGGACAAACTGGAATAGATAATGTCAAACTGAGATAGATAATGGACAAAATGAAATCGGTAGATAGATTGATAAATGGAGAGATAATGGACAATTTCAAATAGATGGATAGATCATCATATTTCAAACAGAAATAGTTAATAACAAACTCAGATGAATAGGTAAAGGACACACTTAGATAATAGACAAAACTTAATAAATAGATGGATGAAGAGATAAATAATCAACAAACTGAAATAGTCCATTATCTATTTATCTGAGATAGATGGGTAGATAAATGACTTAGATAATAGACAAACTGAAACAGATTGATGGATAGATAAATAAAGATGATCAATCCAAATAAATACATGAAGTAATAAACAAATTAAAAACAGTTCCCGCCAAAATAATAGTTAGAATAAACTACAACAATCAACCACAAAATTGAATAAATAGCTTTATCTTCCCAAACCAAAACAAAACTATTAAATAAGCGATATAAACAAATTTTTACTACGTTAATAAAAACACCGATTAAAATAAAAAATAAAAAATAAAAAAATATATAAGATAAGAAATAAAAATAAGAAAATAAAAATAAAAATAAATTAAAACAAGCAAAATAATTTAACCCAAATAAATAAACAAACAAATAAACGGCTTCTGGTATAATAACCGCCAAAATAGACTACCCACAATGCACCACTGACCCGTATATATATATATATATATATATATATATATAAATAAAGAAAATAACAGCACACGTGGCCTGACGATTGCATCTAGCATGAAACAGACTGTCGCCTCTAAGTGTTGACGTCTATGTTCACTTATATATATATATATATATATATATATATATATATATATATAATGGACAAACTGAAATAGGAAGGTAGATGTATAGATAGATATTGGACCAACTGAGATCTAATGCAGTTCTACCTTCTCTGCTCAACTGTGAAAAAAAAACGTATGACAGATAAATATATAAACACAGATCTGAGAGGTATGAAGAAAGTGGTATCTCTCGTATATCCACGCGAGATTTCGGGAACGAGGCTACAGCGAGCTATTAGCTGACGGTAATTGACCAAGTAATCTCCTATTTTATTTGTAATGTATGGCGGTACTTTGTTAAAAACATGTTGCCAAAACTTTGGGAAATGATAAAATACTGTTCTTTTTTTATTTAGTATTTTGTCCTATTTCAAAAATTCCTAATGAACTATCAAAACATGTCAATAATGAACTCCAAAGTATTTGTATATAAAATGTAAGAAAAAATAATTTACGTTATTTTCGAATTGAAAATGTTATTCCATGCCATTGCAGCTGGTCATTAACAAAAGCAAAGCCTTGGTCAGGTTTGGTTTGATGCATCTGCTCGCTACCAACCTTTGCATCTGGTCATCCACAGCCATTGCTGAAACAGCCAAAGACTACAGGCAGCAAGAGTTCTTCAAAAGCCATGAACATGCAGCTAAAGCGGGTAAGTAGAAGACATGTATATCTGTCTCGGTTTCTTCATATTTTGGTCTCTGTCCTAAGTCTGTTCATATCTATCTATGTGTGTGTGCGTGCGCGCACATGTGTTCATGCACGTCTACACGTATCTCTTCATAACTATCTTTCTCTCAGTCTGTTATCTTTGTGTTTGTTCATATCAATCAAATTTTATATTCATATTAATCCCATATATATATATATATATATATATATATATATATATATATATATATATATATAAAATAAAAAAGGCTTAAACACTAATATTCCATGGTCATAATTTATTCCATTGGAATCGTAAATACGATCCGATTCATCAGACCTACAAATTCAAAAAGAAAACAGAAAAAACAACTCCGGAAATAAAAATAGAATTTAGAGAGAGTGTAAGTATGAGAGTGTGGGACGAATGTTAGACCTAAAGAGAGGGGTAACAGACGAGAGAAGGTGGGAGATTAAACCTTAACAGAGAGAAGTTTTAGAGAGGTGAGTGGAAGAGGTTTAAGTGAGAGAAATATGAATGTTGTCGGATGTCTAATACATTAAAGATGTAACCGGAAAGGATACATTTTGTGGTGACATACACACACAATAGACGATCTAATCTTAAAGATCAGAAGAAGAGGGAGGGAGAGGAAAAGAAAAGAAAAAAGGGGTGGGAGAGAGATGGGGTGGGGGAAACTAAAACTGAAGGGCATTTACTGAAAGGGCCGCTGTGTAATTAAGAAAATTTGACAAAATTAATATCGACTACAGGTTACAAATCAAATATAAACATATAAAAAATAAATATAACGATTATCTAATCTATCAAGGACCTATATTTTTATGTTCAAAAATACATGCGTATACACACATACACAATAACATATACGCGTACATACATACATATAGGCGTGTACCCACATACACACATACATATACCCATGTACACACATACACATATATCCACATATACACACACATACACATTGGTAGTATGTCATTATTAAGGCATGTGTTGTTAAAGACTGCGGAAGTTTTCCGATTAATAATCTTTTTTCTGTTTTTTCCTTGCTTTCTTGCAAGTTTTTTTTTTATATTTAACTCTAAGTTGTTGAAAAAAGACCCTAGTCCATGATGTTTTGCCGAGCGCTTTCGGTTATCGTCAACCGTCATAATAAACCAACGTAAATAAAATAGAATTTAATACTGGCAAAAACATCATAAACATAGTTAATAATTAATACTCTAAATAATAAATACCAATCCCCCCCAATTGCTAATGAACTAATCCAACAACACTGCCGAAATACCCAAAATATTATCTATAAAATGAAATAATAAGCAACCTACTTCAAACAAAAATATATAGCTATGATGACGGAAGCTACGGTGGGAAAATGATTGAAGCTGAGATGCCAGGTCATGACCAATAACTTTTCATACTCTTCTTTGTATTTTATCAAGAATCTCTAAATATATAGCAGAAGCACCAGACCAGATATAACAGTAATATTCAATGCAAAGACGAATGTTAGACTTATAAATATGTAAGATAGATTCTAGCGAGAAAACATTAGCCCTGTACAGTGAACCAACTTAGCAATTACAGACTTGGCAATTGACTCAATATAATTTTTCCACTTCATGTCAGCTGAAAACGTTAGCCCCAAGAAGAGACAATGTCACTCTCATGCAGGTTAGCATAAGCCATGCTGTTGAAAGGCAAAAAATGCTCTCCCAGCCGATTAAAAGAGAGCAGTTTTGTTTTGGGGGCGTTAAAATGAACAAGATATTTCTTGCCCCAGTTAGCAATAAGATTGTAAGTCGTTTTAGAGATCAATTACCAATTTGATCTTATCGATCAGAATTAGCATTAAGACATGAGGAAATAATTTGTGTCATCAGCATAGATACCGACTTGGGAACTGACGACATCAAGAGGGCTTTTGATGAAAATTAGAAAAAAATCTATTATATTTATATTGTTCATATTTATTTATATTGTTTAAACAGTTTATATATTTTTATATTATTTTATCATTGTCTTTTTTAATTCTTTCTTCATATATTTAAAAAAAATGTTCTTTTTCGTTTTTTCTTTCCAGCTCAGGGCGTCAAATCCGTTACCAACACGACAAAAAGCTGTTTTGAAGACGTCACTCTGGCCAGAGTAGCCTCTCCTTATCTCTTCCCTTGCACCATCATGTACAGCCTAATTGCCTCTGGTATCATCCATCGCATGTACCTGTACGTCGGTGTGAAGGTCAAGCAAAAGTGGCCGAGCCACATGTCCCTGACCAGTTCCCAACCACAGAGCACAGCGTCAATGGACTGCGAAAAGGCCAACCGTGGTCTCTTTCTCGGGCTTCTTATCGGGGTCATCACACTGATTGCAATCGCGACATTTTTCGTGTTCGAAGTCCGCATTTCAGATTCGGAGACCGCCATTAAGGTGTTTTTTATCACTGAAATCGCTCTGCTCGTCATCACTACCATTGGTGTCATTCTCGGTTATCTTCGCCTGTCCACTCTGAGATTCCGCAGTAGCCGAATGATATCTCTCGATTCCATCTTGTTGATCATTGCATTGTCCGGTACTTACGTCTACCTATTCCTGTTGCTCATTTCCTCAGCGTCTGGATTTGAAGAATTTGGTCTGGTCGCCATTCTTTCTGTTATTTGTATCTGCATGGAACTTGTCCAACTGAGTGTTCAAGCCGTTTTCCTGCTGGACGGTCTTTGTCGCAGTATAAAATACGAAGAACAACAGACAAGAAAACCGGGACGTGCTATTGTCACCTTCCTGCTGGTGTGTAATTTGGCACTGTGGTCGGTTAGTAGCTTTGAGGTGAAGAAAACAACCGTGGTCCCTTTGCATGAGAAATTCTTTGGTCTTCTGGCATGGAACATCATTATTCATCTTTGTCTGCCACTCCTCATCTTTATCCGTTTCCACTCAGTCATTTGTCTGTCGGAGATTTGGTACGACGCTTATCAGAAAGACAAAGATCATTAA